TTCTCCATTATCCCTATATTAATCATGGTTCAACCTGATATGTCTGTTGTGAGGGCACCTTCGAGGTGAGAGTCAGACCACCGGATACGTTGTAATCTGGAGGTGTGGTCCAAACTCCTCAAGGGGGTGATATAGGCGATTATACAAGGGAGTTTAGATAGCTCCACTGGGGGTGTTGTTTCCACAAGGGAAGCTGCAGCCGTAGCTGCGTTACTACGAATGCTCTGTGCCGTTGCAGTAGACCTGCAGCTAACATACATCACTATGCATATCAAGGTCTGTTCTCTCCACAGAAGCTGCGCGGGGCTCACTTTGATTTGTGAAGGAGAAATATGGCCAGTGTTGCCCGCTTGTTCCTGGCTCTCATTGGTTCGTCAGTGGTCTTGATTTCCCTCTCTTGGGCATCAGACATGTTGCTGAGAGTCAAGATATGCGAAGATAGTGTTTGAAACTTGCCTTCCCAGGTTGATTCGCAGGCATGGCACACGTCGAGCGATGCCACCAGCACAAGCGGTCAGGATTTCAGCTTCAAACATCTTGTGGTCCTTCTGCAGGGGCATTGCTGTTGATCAGATGCTCAATCGCAGGGGATACTCTTTGCATCTCTTTACAGTGCTTGTCGGTGTAAGGCTGCGATCATTCTCGAGCCGCTGGCGATTTTCGTTGTTGCCCAGAAGGTTACTGGGCAGGGGCCCAAGATGTGAGTCCAAAGGGACCTCTGCTGTTGCTAGTGGTGAGTGTGCCGGAGATTCCTTCTTCAAACCCCCATGCCAGCAACCCTTCTGAAATGCCCCGAGTAATGTACTCAGCAATTTCAATCATGTTTGCAACTCTTTGATGCTCACTCCAGCTGAGGGCCAGGACCGCATTCCTACCCCAATATTACACCCTATAATCCCTTTATAACCCATTGTAGTAGTTTCCATTCTCTTTTCCATTATCCCTATATAACCCCAATATATACTCCTAAAAATCTCTATGTAACCCCTATATAATCCCTGTAGTTTACATTTTCTTTTCCATTATCCCTATATAACCCTAATATATTCTGCGTCTCAGCCAGTCAATCCGCTGACTTGTGCAGGCAGCGTTTCATCAGAAGGTTGCAACCAGCCCTCAGCTTCATTTGCACTTCATTTGCACTTCATGTGCACTTCTTTGGGGTTATATTGGGATTATATTGGGGTATATTGGGTTATATTGGGATTATGTTGGGTTATATTGGGATAATGTTGGGATTATATTGGAACTATATTGGGTTACATTGGGTCATGTTGGGGCTGTATTTTGGGCCCTATAATAAGTATATTAGGGTAAGATTGGGATTATATTGGGTTACGTTGGGATTATATTGGGATTATACTGGGTTATATTGGGGTTATATTGGGGTTATATTGAGGTTATAAGGGGATACTTGCAAAAAAAGGAAACTACTATATTATGATAGGGTTTAGGGTTGGGGTTATCCTCTGTGAGTTCCATCCCTCAAATTCCAATGTGGAGTTGATTGCATTTTGTTTCAAAGCATGCAGCCCTGTGTGGCCAGCCCTCTCGCTTCCCTCACTTGTCGGCTCCCAGCATAGATGTGTCACCCTGTAGTGTCTAGGATTGTAATTATGGTCGGCTATGACTGAGAAGTTCGAAGCAGAAATGCGCTTGCTGTTGCGGACAAGCTTTGCTGGAAGTACACGCCATCACATCATGATTCAATCGACACAACAGCAGAAATCACGCCAGCGCTTGTACATCAAAGTTCACAAGCTCAGATCGAAGCTTCAACATCTTTACCACCCTCATACCATGTTATGAAATCCTATAACCCCTTCAAGGGGACGAAGCGCTTCCATGTCATTTTTCATTTCTATTCCGTCTGATTCTTCAGTATCCAACTTTCCGAAGTAGCTTGAAATGTCAGATTCCAGAAGGGTGAGGTGAGCTACAGTCTAAACTCCTTAAACAGGGTTGTATAGAAATTATTTAGCGGACTACTGTAAGGGTTATTAAAGGGGATACTGAGAGGTAAGATTATAGCTACCAATCCCCAGTTCCATTTCATTCTCCATTTTTTCCCTTTGATTCTCCATTATAGGGCTTTTTGAGGGGGCTTCTGAGAGTTTACACTGTAGCTCAAAGTAGACCTGAGGCTGGTTCTTGGTTTAGGGTTTAGGGTTTTGCCGCCATCAGCTGGAACTCCATACCCGCGTGGCCGGCCCAGACTGTTGTTGGGTTGCTGTTAAGGAGCTTAAATTCCACTTACTATAGCAAGGAAGCCCTGTTATCTATTAATACCCATAGTATGGCAACTTAATTTTTAGTTCCTCAACAGCAAGCCAGGTTGTCCCGGGTATTTTTTCTTCGAAGCTTTCTCAAATCCTCTCTGCGGTGTCAGGTTTGCGTCCTGGTGGGAGTCCTCATGACTCGTTGAGGCAAGAGAACACATTCAAAGCCCTGAAATCCTACGCCCCAAGACCTAACTTGGGCATCTCTGCACAGGGTGTTGAAGTTGAGGAGGGGTTGTATTTGCTCCTGTGTTTGGACGTTTCCTGTTGCTAGACGGAGAAAGAAGTGGTAAAACAAATGACCTGAACCTTTAAGCCAAACTCCAACGCTCAACCCTAGACCCTAAACCCTCAAGCCGGTGCAGGGTCTAACTGGAAACTTCAAGTCCGGTGTTAGAGTGAGCAGGCCTCTTGTGTGTAGGTGGGGACCTGTGAGGGTTTGGTTGGCGCTGCGTGCAGAACAGCACTGGAGAAGTGAGGCTGACTGGTTTTCCGGGCCATTTTTGGGAAGTGCCCTAGAGGCATCTTCGTGGACTGCTGTACCATGGAGAAAAGATCTGATAGAAAATCAAAAAAACAACCCTCCACCCTAAACCCTAAACCCTAAACCCTCTCACCCTGAACCCTCACCTCTAAACCCCCAAGAGCGTGTAGGTGCGAGGCGCCCTCGCACAAATCATGGCAGCCCTGCGCTGAGACCCGTGGCGTCCCCTCGATCATCACAGTACATGGTTTAGGAGTTTAGTGTGGAAACTGCTATTATATACTGGGCTTTTATAGGGATAACGGAAAGGAAAATGGAAACCATGATAATGGGGGTTATATAGGGTTTAGGGTGTAGGGTTCAGGGTTTAGGGTTCAGTGTTTAGGGTTAGGGTTTGTACTGATCTTAATATAGACCCCAACTCACTACAATGCTTAGTATAGGGAACCAAAATCAAGGGCTAACCTAATGTTGGGAAACCCCATTTCTACGCCAAGGACACCCACTTGCCAGTGATCTCGCGGCCAGCGTCTCCAGAATTTCCGAGTGTCGTGCCGATGGCCCAGCGCTGTACTGTAACGAGCTTGTGGGCTATACAAGCGGCTATACCTACTCAGTAGGTATCAGTAACTGGTATTCTGAGGCCCAGCAAGCATACCCAGATGAAGAGAGCAAAGGGGCGGTAAAGGTCCAGTTTTATGTTCAGCTTGGACGCAGACATCTACAGTTAGAGTCGGCTTGAAAGGGGGTTCTTACAGCTTCCTTGCAATTTGTGCAGGGCTCTGCTACCTTTTCAAGGCGTTCGCGGGTGAACAGCCAATCTACAACCACCTGCCCGCCGTTGGCGCCGCCGCTAGGGCAGGCACATTATGCACATGTTTTTGCCATAGGTCCAATCTTCCCAGCAAGCAGCGACTTTTCAGAAGACCATGCAACCTTTGCATTGGTCGGGACCGATGGTTTTTGAAGAGCCAGAAGTACAGCCGAGTGTGCGTTATTTCAATCCGCTAAGCAGTCAGGCCAGTGAGGCTTCAAGCAGAATCCCCCATCAGAACTGAGCCCGTCTGTTTGTCGCAGACCAGCAGCTGTCCACAACTTCCGGCTGCTGATGCGAAGACCTCGACCAATGCGCTGCGCGTTAGGGGCCCACCAGCCGGGGCAGAAAAGTCCCTCAGGAATGTTTTAGTTGGGCTGGGGAAATGGTGTAGGTGTGTCGATCCAGAACGGGTCTGAGGCGAGCTGTCCGCAGCTTCCGGCGGCAGAGGGTGCTGTGCAAAGCTCGGAATCGCGCTGGATTTCAAGATCCTAAACCCCATATAACCCCATATGACCTCATTTTTCCCAACCCCATATGACCTTTTTTTCCCATATATAGCCCTTATACAAATCCTCTGTATGACCCATTAATATAAATGAATATATATATATATGTATATATAGATATATTTATAAGTATATATAGCATAATAACCCAAAAAGATCTCCAGCTGCTACGTGGGCTCATCCTGGAATCCGTGGGCTAAGGCAAACCGGCGAGAGGAGCAGGCATCCAGCTTGGCGTGAAGATTTTGCTTTCTTGCCAAGAGATTGGGGGGTTTCCGGGTTTGTAGAGTAAGGATTATAGGGGGTTATATTGGGGTCCGTTCTTTTGGGAATCCACCGTTTTATACAGGGAGTAATAGATACTAAAATGGAAGCCACTGTATTATGCTGCGGTACACCATGGGAGTTATATAGGCAACCCTATATAGCCCCAAAAACTGGATATCGCAAGGCTTGTTGAAGTTCCACAGCTGTGATCCCTCACAGTTGAGATGGAAACTTTTTCTGGCTGAAATTAATGGGCTGTGGGCACACTTGCAACTGAGATAGGGGAGTTGCACACACCTCGCTTGGAGCAGACATGATGAACACTTGCTTGCCTTGGAAGTTGCGAATCCCTTTAGCTGATGTGCTTTCCAAGCGGAATTCGAAGTGCGGACGCACAGGAGAAGAATTTTCTTGCGCGACAACTGCAGCACTCATCGCTACAGTCGCGCAGACAGAGGCAGGACCATCCACTCGACAAGTCGCGAAGAGTTGTGACACTTGCATGATGCCTGCAGACTTCTTTGTTGTCACGTGATTTATCTTCCCTGGTGCACGTCTGCTTTGAAAAGTCAAGCTGCCGGCCGTTCAGGCCGAGTGGCTAACACGCAATGAAGTATCCAAGCCCTTCTTGGGGCCGTCTTCCAGGCATGCGGTGGCTCCTCTTCGCGCTCCTCGCGTCTGCCAGTGCTACTACGGTACGGACTCCCAACAACCCGAACAGCCTGAACTCCACGCAGCCGCGGCTTCGCAAGGCCGCCTTTGTGGAAGGCCATGGTTCCGCAGTGGCTGTAGCCGCCCAGGCACAGGCTCCTGCTGCTCCACCTCCCACTACCGGACCCTCCGCTCATGATGTCTGGCGTCTCTTTAGACAGCTCTTAGGCTATGGGGTGCTGGCCTGTGGCGCTGCTTTCTGGGCTTACTGGGTGCCCGTGAAGCTGCACAGCGAGCACGAGAAGTTCCTGGCTGAGAAGTTGGAGGGCAGAACTTTCAACATGTACCTGGCATATCGCTTCAATTTTTGGATGGATTCCGAGGGCCTTGCAGTGACTTGCCCAGGGAAGCATTTGCAGTTTTGCTTGTTCCTTCTCTCAATGAAGAAGCGGTAGCTTATGTGCCATGCTGTGCATGTCCCCTAAGGCCATGGGCATCATACTCGCAGTTGGCGTCCTCTCCCTCCTCACGGCAGGGGCCTTTCTCTATGCACTGTTTGTAGGGGGCTCGCCAGTCACTGGCCTCTGGATTTGCCCCTTGCCTGGAGCACTGCAACTCTGCAAGTTCTGTACGTGGGGGTTGGCCTAAAATCACTCTAATGCTGGTCCTTTCTTTGGGGTTCTCATCATGATATGATCTCTATGATTTTTCCCTATTTTGGGAACGGTAATTTAGGCCACGCTCCACGTGCAAGTAAGTAGGGCTTGCCCAGGTATGTTGGTTTAGACCTGCTGAAGTTTTCAATCACAAGGCGCCCTATGTTATCCATAATCGATGAATCCTAGTGGGAAGACTATCGCACTGAAATCTGTAAGACCCTTACAAGGTTACGATATGTTACGATTACATCATATTACCAATACGATAAAAAAAACCATGGTCATAAACAAATACCACAGTATAAACATAGAACCACAGTAATCATAGGCCCCATGACCAAATTTCGGAACGGAACCCTAGACCCTAAACCCTAAATCCTAAATGGTAGTTTCCCCAAATATAGACCCCAATAAATCATAGTCCTTATTATGGGAACCCCCTTCTGCTCTGGTCTCTGCTCAACTCAGGTTTCGTTTGGGCATCAGCTGCTTCAGTAGATCCTGCAGCGCCAGCCATCATGGGATTTGCTGCTAGGCTGTTACTGCTGCAGTTATCTTGCACCATGTAGAGTAAGCCAGGTAGTTCTAGAGAGTGAAGGTCCTTATTGGCTTGCAAAAGGCGTTCAGTCGCAAATGATGATGGGTCCCGATCTTTGGATCCTCAAAGTTTATGCAGGTCATGCTTTTTGGGGGAGTGGTTAGTGAAGGGAACCTAATTTGGAAAAGTGGTCCGTATTACGAAGACCAATGCAGCTAGGCTTGTTCTCTTGCGAAAAGGTCTTGAAAGCAGCGAGCTATTGAATGCAACGCAGCTTTGGTCAGGGCTTGGGCTGGGTTCTTTGTCAGAAATCTGAGCTTGCTGAATGGAATGTCGAAACTATTTTCTGTCACAGGAAGTGTAGTTTCGAGCAGGGTTCCATTGATACTGACCAGGATTTGCACAGATGTATTAATCGCAAGAGGTTGTTTGACTTACTTGCGCGCACTTCGCTCAATACATGCGCATGGTCATGGTGCGCGTAACATTATGTTTCCTTGCATGGTCATGGTGCGAATAATATCATGCCTGGTGGTTGAATGAAACCTATGTTTCTTCTGTATTGTTCATTAACCTTGCATACGCACATCACCATGCCTAGTTGTTCAATCCACTCTTCCTAATTCTTCCGTGCTGTTCACTGCGCTACCCTTGTTCGTTGCTCTTGCATGGTCCTGGTTGCATCAAACCCCTTCCGTCTGCAGCGTTCAGTAGGCTTGGGTGCCCTGGTACGTGTAATAGGAGCATGATGCTGGGTGGTTGCACGAAAGCTCCCCAAGGCCTTCTGCAGTGCTCGGTATGCTTGTACGGTCACGGTGCGTACATCATCAAGCTTGGTCCTTGCAACAAGCCTTCCTCCACCTTCTGTAGTGTTCATTGCCCACTACAATGCATGTTCTTGCTGCTTATATCCGCGTGCTCCCCACTCCTCTTCTTGCTCTTCAGAGTTCACAACGCTGCGAAGAACATCAGGCCTGGCAGTTGTACAACTGTTTAATTCTACTTCTGTACTCAAGTGCTGAAAACCTGGCTCTCGTCGGCCTTGACATGGCCCTCAAGTAAGGCTTTCAAATGGACTTAGCACAGACAGGTTCTACAGTGAGCGTGATTTCATCATGCAGGGCTCTCTAGACTTTGCTTCCCAAACCTGTCCCCCTGGATTGCAGAAGCCCAAAGATGGCATTTGCAATAACACTGTACCTGAAGGTTGAGCAGAACCGTACTTCTATTTCATGGTCAATGAGATGTGCTTGAGGTTGGGGTACGGGATGCGTGCTACACACCAAACCTTGCCTGACGCCTGAAGCACCGATGGAGTGGTGTGCACTCGCTTCACAAGTAGATGCTCGTGAATCGCAGAGAACCCCAACATAACCCCAATATAACCCCAATATAACCCTAATTACAGAGGTTGGGATCCTCTCTACGCTTGGCGGGCTGGTTCTCTTGGCTGTGCTCCTGACAACCATCTCAGACTACTTTGCCAAGCAGGCGCCGAGAGCTGTTGGGAGAACTTTGCAGCATGGGACTGCCAGAGCTTTATACACCGCATTATTGGGGTTATATAGGGATAGGTAGCTCTTCTACTACGGTAGGAGGGGATGGCTTAGGAGAGAGTGAAACTTGAGCTGCAGTTGGCTTGACCGTGCATGTTTCTGCATCAACATGATCCCAAGTCCAAGCTAGTAAAAGACCGCATGCATGCTGTCAGCTCCGAGCTTCTGGAAAAGAAAATGGACTGGCTTATATACTGAGTCTCAAACCCCAAGCCACAAATCCCAAACCCTAAACCCTAAACCCTGAACCCTAAACTAAACCCTATCCTTTCTGAACGCAGGTTGAGGCCTCAAAAGCCGGCCGTGACCCCGTGGTTGAGGGTGGCCACCTGCTCCTTCTGGGTGCCTTGGGCTTCTGACATCACACTTCAACCAAAAAGGTGGACATGGTTTAGGGTTTAGGGTTTAGGGTTTAGGGCTAATCTCAAAATTATGAAGTATTTTTGGGATACGAAAGAGGGACCCTAATTTTGGGAACCCCCCTATTTGTTGATGTGGTTCGCATTGTCCATGGCATTCTGGTGACCGAGCCCTACAAGACTCATTGGAAGTAACAGGAGAATAGCAATGCAACAATACTTTAAGCAAGCAGCTGTTGCCAATCTAAGGTCACTCTGTGCAGACGAAGCAACTTCTTGAGGAGACCAGGGAAGTCGCCCGGGAATGTAGCTTTAGATTCGCACTCAGGGGAGCCTTTTCCGGAATCCTGCAAGGAGTTCGCAGCGTGCGAGGCCGATGACAAGCCCACAACTGCTGGGAGCTCAGTGCAAGGCAGGAGGGCTGCGCTTTAAGATTCTGCTTGCTGCCAGGTAGTGATCTTGGCTGGTCAGAAGAAGCAGGAGACCATTGCCGGGTGGGGCTGCGTCAGTCTCTTTTCGTGGGGGGTGGCGGCTTAGGCCGTAGGTCCCTAGGTTGCTGGAGCTGACATCATGTCTTCACTAGGTGCACGAGGATCAGTCCTCATGGTATCACCCTAGGGTTTGATGTAATGAAGGTGAAGCAGGAGCCTCTGAGATGGACTGGACAGCAGTGTCGGCTTTTGCATCCCCATCCTTCCATCATGTTCACAATGTAGGCTCGCTGCACATATTGTCTTTGCGATGCCTGTTCCTCCCTCCACGGCATCTTTGCTTCTAGGTCAACAGCAGTATGCAGAAGAAGCCTTACCATCTGCGCATATGGCAGCCACAATCCTAAAGGGAGAACCATGGAGAATCCTCCATCGGAGATGTTTTCAGAAGATGCCTGCCTCGAGGAAGTTGAGGAAGAGATCGTCTCCTGGAACACCGAGCTTGGAGATCTTAAGCTGGTGGTGCGAAGTGGCAAATGCTGTGACAAGACAGACCTCTGGAAGGCGAAAGATGGTTGTTCTGAGTTTACGTCAAGATTTACGGTGGGTCCTGTTGGCCTCCCAAACACACAGTGTTGCTACCCTGAGAGGTTGGCGCAGATTGTGCCAAACGCATTGTCATTCCAGAGAAGCTTATGAAACTTTCAGAACTCGCTTTTACTGGGGACAGCTTTGTGTATGATTGGAAGCCTCATTGCTGGACTGCTGGCATGCTGGTCTTGGCCCAGGAATCCTAACATGTCCAAGGACGAGTCGGACGCCTCGCAGATGGGCATCCTGCTAACCCTGAGAAATCAGGGGAAGTCTGGCTGGCCAAATGACGGCCACGTGGCAATGTCCACCTGTATCTCCACAAACCGTGCCTACATGCAGGATCCAAAGATCAACAGTCAGAATAGGTCCTGAATTAGTCAATGTGAGGTGAAAACGGACCAGACGACAACCTTTCCATAAGCACCTTGCAACATCTGTCAGGGCCATGTCTGGCATTGAATCAACTTCAGCACATAGGCTGACTTGAAAGAGTGGCTTCCTTGAAAGAGTCAAGCAAATGCAGTGAACACGATGAGATAGACTTCTGCCTATGGCTCTTAGAGGGTGCTCATATTCTGTTTTTCAGAGCATGAGACTTTTCAAAGCTGCCAGGAGCTATACAAGGATAAGGCCTTCATCCTCACAAGTGAGACGATTGGCCGTATGATGGTGCAAGGTGTTCAAGATCAGGGCCTTTGCTCTGTCTTCAACCAGCTGACCGGCTTCGACGGCGATGAATTCTATGTGGCCGGCGCGGAGGAGTTGGGTGTGGTGGGCAAGACATTCCTAGAACTGCCATTTTGGTTTCCCGTCACTGTTCCCTGGGAGTGGTGCGGGATGGGGAGTACCTCGTCAACCCCGACAAATCTTTGGAGGTACAGCAGGATGACTCAATCATCCTCTTGGCGGATGATGATGACGCCATCCAGCCTGTTGAGGGTTCCTATTTCGATTTCGCTCGGTGGGCAGGTGAGCGCAAGCCTGCCGAATTTCAGGAGGCCAATGCAAATGATGGGGAAACGGTGAAGGCCCTCATTTGTAACCTCAACGCCCGAAACTGTGGATGCGCAATCCTATCTGCTATGGATTCGATGACGGGGCCGGGGTCAGAGGTTGACCTCTACTGTTCCCTTAGTGAAGAAGAGGTACAAGACATTGTGTCTAATTCACAGAAGATGACAGAGCACTCCTACGAGAACATCTCCATCCGTCGGATCATCAGCACGCCCAGCGATGCCATGACATCAATGTATCGCATCAAGGATCTGCCGTTGGAGACTTATGACTACATTATCCTGCTGGCGAATGCAGCAGAGTCCGTAGACCGGGCCGATGAGCAGACAGTCGCAATGGTGCTGCAGATGAAATCCCTTATGGCTCAGCGTGATCCGGAGAAGGATTTCCAACCCCTTGTTGAGATCTGCACGCCAACAGCTGAGGAGCAGCTGTCTGCAGTGGGAATCCAGAATCTATGCAACAGCACGCTTCTGGTTTCCAAAGCACTTGCTATGGTGGCCATCAGCACAGTGAACTACGGAGTTCTCAGCGACTTGCTCTCCCCTGATGGAAACCAGCTGGACATTATGGACTTGGCAGATTACCTCGCTGAAGGCGAGAGTTTGCCAACCTTCCTGACCTTTGCCGAGGCAGCTGCAATCGTAGGTCGCGCTGCCCAGCAGGTGGGGTTCAGGGTTTGGGTTGAGCGAATCATCTCTGTTTCCCTTGTGATGTCTTCTGCCGCCAGGTGCTCATCGGATGGTCTGAGGAGGGTGAGTATGTAATCAATCCTAAGAGCAAGCTTGTGCCGCGGCCGTGGTCTTCTGAAGACCGCTTTGTAGTGATCAAGGATGTGTGAGGGCCAGACCGAGACTGGAGGCTAAAGATGTTGGAGCAAAAAGTTGCCCTCTTCTCATGAGGTAGCTTCCATTTTCTTTTCCATTATCCCTATAATATAACCCCAGTATACTATGATAGTTTCCATTTTCTTTTCCATTATCCCTCTATAACCCCAACATAGTATAGTAGTTTCCATTTTCTTTTCCGTTATCCCTATATAACCCCAATATAAACCCTATATAATCCCTATATAACCTCATATAAACCCTATATAATCCCTATATAACCCCAATATAGACCCCTTTAATCCCTATAATTTCTATTTTCTTTTCCATTCTCCCTATAGAGTCCCTATTCTTCCCTCACCCCCGGCTCCAGGACCTGCCATGACTTTAGTGATGCCGGGGGGGGGAGGAGCCCTTGAATAGTAGGGGGAAAGGATTATGGGGAATTATATAGGGTGGTTGTCAAAATTTTGGTTCCTTTTTGGATCCCTATTAGAATACGGCACCTAATATTTAGGGTACCCAAAAGGGGACCAAAACTTTGACAACCACCCATAGGATGAGTTGCAAGATGGCCGTCAGGTCCTTGCTGCAGCGCGAGTTTGTGCGGAAGAGCCGTGCGGACGACGATGCTGAGTTCTGGGGTGCAAAGGCTCGACCAATTGGCGGCTTAGAAGCTTAATTAGCGATCATGGAGATCAATTAAAATCATGGACAAAGCCATGGAAAGCTTGGATTATACATGTGTCCTGGTCAAGTTACCCAACACCTTGCATCAGGGCAAGGAAGGATTCCGGACGTACCTGAAGAAGAAGTTTGGGCGCCTGCGGCAGAACTTGCAGTGCATGTCAAGCCTGAATGTTCTTCAAACAGCTGGGTCTAAGTCTAAGGGTCACCGTTATAACCATAGTAGAATATTATAGTAGATTATCGTATATTATCGTATTTTATAGTATTTTATACTATATTACAGTATATCAGAATATATTATAGTATATTATTGTATGTTACTGTATATTCTTGTATATTATTGTATATTATTGTATATTATTGTATATGCTAATGTGCGGTCTTGCTTGGGGGGATAGGTTTCGAGGATTGAGCCCTGTCTGAGGACGATCCTGAATGGGTGGAGGGCTCTGGACCAGGAACGCGCCCGATGTCTATCGAGCAAAGCATTCTGTGTGTTTGGTGACGCCAAGCCCCTCCTAGAGCTCTACCCTATGAGAGGGCAAGCTCCTATAGTTGCACCTCCTTGCAAGGACAAGTCAGGTCGTCTGTCGTTCCAAGAGTTTTGTCAGGCTTGCCGTGTTCGGACCTCAAAGGAGAGAGTGGTGTAATGATAGTAATAGTAATACTAATAACAATAATAGTAGTAGTAATAGTAATAGTAGTAATAATCATA